GGGGCAGCTCCCTCCAGCAAGGGGATAAGACAGGCCTGGGAGGACCCTGCCCAGCCTGGGCCTCAGGAAGCAGCAGCGGGGACACCTCCACCATGGCCTGGACCCCTCTGCTCCTCAGCCTCCTTGTTCACTGCACAGGTGCTGCCCCTGGACTCCCACCCACCCTACAGCCCCAGGACAATGGGATCAGCCTGGCCCTGACTCTGAGCTCAGCAGGGACCTGCCTAGGCAGGAGGCTCAGGATCTTGCTGCAAGATGAGGGGCTGCTTTGTCTGAAACCCCCCACACTTGCTCACTGGCTTGTGTGAGCCTGAGGGGCTGCCCCTGCCAGGAGAAAGAGGTGGGTTTCTCGTGTGACCAAAGTTTCCATCCACCAGCTAAGCCCATGGGCCACTGGGGCTAGGACTGATGCTGGCGGCACCCTGAGGCTTCACAGAGTCTCTGGAGCTCGCTCAGGACAGGCAGGTAGAGATCTTATGGGCAGGGATCCTTCATCTTTAAGCCCTCCTCTCTTTTTTCCTTCTTGAAGGTTCTGTGTCCTCCTACGAACTGACTCAGCCAGCCTCGGTGTCGGTGGTCTTGGGACAGACAGCCACAGTCACATGCACTGGAGATAAACTCTCACGTAAATATGCTGACTGGTACCAGCAGAAGCCAGGCCAGGCCCCAGTGCTGGTCATCTATGAGGATAGCAAACGGCCCTCAGGGATCCCTGACCGATTCTCCGGCTCCAACTCAGGGAACACAGCCACCCTGACCATCAGCGGGGCCCAGGCTGGGGACGAGGCTGACAATAGTGCCACCAACGATGGCAGTGGGAGCAGCTGGCAGTGACTCATGGTGATACAGACAGATGGTGACATGGGACAGGAACCTCCCACCCAGCCTGGCTCTCACTCTCAGCCGCCCTCTGAGCAATGACCGTGACCTTTGTCTCAACTCACTCAGATGGTTTCTCACTGCAGCGCAAGCAACAGGAAACTGTCATTGGAATTGTGGCTTCCCAAAGAATTAGTTTAATTTTAATCTTAACATCTAGTCACTTGAAATCCAGGAGCTTATGGAGAGTAGTTCACAGGTTCATGGGATGGAAAATGTCTCCAGAGAGCCTGGTTCCTGCATTAGAAACCAACAGCCTTTTCCCTCCCTTTCCACACAGAGTGTGGCAGGACAGGGAACTATTCTCTGACCTTCTTTCCCTGAGAATGTGGCCTTGAGAGAAGATGATGGGTTGTTAGCCCAGTAGGACCATGTCACTGGATGAGTAGTGCTGATCTGGCCAGACCTGCTCTGGGAGTCTGAGAACAAGAGTCGTCCTACTGTGTGTGAGAAGCAGTGAGCACGCGGCTCTCAGGCGTGAGCAAGGACAGAAACCAACCTTTTCAAAAGTGTAATAATTTCATTACAAATGACATGACCTTGTTACAAAACCCTGAGGGTCTACATTGGGATTCTCTTGGGGGGGGGGGGCTGCCACAAACACAAGGTTTCACTCCCATCACATATTCCTGGGTTATGGTGGAATCTGCTGGATTCTGTGGCCCCAGCAGCAGGACAGCTGACCCCACTGCCTGGACCTGCTGCAGAGATTCCTGCTCTGGGACCCCAAACATGAGGCAGCCTTCCCTCGTTCCTGAGGTTTGGGTTGGATCAACATCCCCAAGTATGAAATATGCTGCGCACACAAACCACTGTGGCCACACAGGCTTCGTGCTCCTTCCTTCTTGGTGGGAGGTGTAGGATATGATAGCTTGGAATGCTGAAAACAACTAAACCCTACACATATCTGCTAATAGGAAGGGATGGATCTTCTTATGGGTTATTTTCCACTCTCTGAGTGCATGTGTCTCACTAAATAGCTGTATGTATCTGCCACTTCATGCACCCCTGCTGCAATTACCATGACAGGGTAGAGCCCTGGGCTGTTCTGCTGGGTGTCCAGATGGTCCAAGACTCCGTGGACTACATTATGGCAGGAAGAGGAGAGTCAATGAAGCTGAGGGGATAAAGTATAAACATACACTGTTCTCTACTCCACACGCTGCATGCTGTGTCTGATCCTACTCTCTGAGAGGAATAGAGAAGAACTCGGTTTCTGCATCAGGGGTGCTTACCATGCACCTGCAGTCATATTCTCTGCTCTAGCCGATTCCATATCTGGCACAGAAATTGTGAATAGGACAATGACCTGACTGGATCTGTAGAAATCCACTTCCACCTTCCAGGATCTATTCAACATGTGTTGGATAGGCCAATAAACTCAATGGATATAAAAACCAGCCACAAACCATGAGACATTTAGGACTTTAAAGGTGGTCCTATTCTATGCCATTCCCCATCCTAGAATGCAATATGCTATTTATTTACTATCACAGATGGAGTGAAGATGGGGGAAGACTCAGAATTTATCATATGCATAAAGGACCAAATAGTAAATGTTTCAGTGTTTGTGAGCTGGTCTATGTTGCCGCCAATCCACTCCGCCCTTGTAGCATGACAGCAGACATTGACAGAACTTTAAAAAATGAGAATGACTTGGTTCTAACAAAATTTTATCTACAATAATGGGCAGCAGTCAAAGCGGCTGACCTGAATTCTAGAATTGTCTTGTTGTTTCAGGAATCTTCCTTTAGAGCCTCTTCTTGATTCAGATGGTTCTGGGTTAGAAAACTGGCCAAGTTCTGGAAACTGGGGAAGAGATTGGTGCCATCAGTGGGGCTACTGCCATTAGCCATTCTTGACTACTTTTGAATGTTTAGATTAATGAGGGCACTTCTTGGCCACCCATCTACTGGCTCCAGGTAATGCCAAGTTTTAGGAACCCTCCCTATACCTCTGCAGGTCAGATCCCTTGACGGCCACTCTCAACTTGTTCACTCTGTGGAAGATATTGCTGAATTCCACCCTCACTCCCAGCATGCCCAACGAGAGCATGCCAGTCCTTCTGAGCCTGCCCAGCAGTCAGCCTGACTGAGAAGATTTTTTCCACTCCTGACTCTACCATAGATGGTGACTGTCTTAGTCCATTCCTGCTGCTATAACAAAATAACTTAGACTGGGTAATTAATAAAGAACAGAAAAGTATTTCTCACAGTTCTGGAGGCTGGGAAGTCCAAAATCAAGGTACCAGCAGATTCAGTGTCTGGAGAGGGCCTTTTTGCTCCATATTCACATAGCAGAAGGAATGAATGCTGTGTTCTTATATGGCAGAAGGGTAGACGATCAAAAAAAGGGCCAACTTAGGTCTCTCCAGCCCTTTTATAAGGCATTAATTAATCTCATCATAAGGGAGAAGCCCTTTGGCCTAATCACTTCCTAAAGGCCCAATCTCTTACCTATTGCTTTAGGGCTTAAGTATTAACATAAATTTTGAAGGCAATACAAACATTTAAACCATAGTCTATGCTAGTATTTCACCAAAATGATAGAGGAAATGCTGTCACCACCTTGGTCCTTCCTGGAGCCTTTCTGCTGTCTGCACTGTCCTCATACTGCCCCTACCATTAACATTTAAACCATAGTCTATGCTAGTATTTCACCAAAATGATAGAGGAAATGCTGTCACCATCTTGGTCCTTCCTGGAGCCTTTCTGCTGTCTGCACTGTCCTCATACTGCCCCTACCGTCTGCAACATCCAGCTCTGATCTGGCTCCTTGTTGGGTTTAGATATTTTTCATTGAGATCTGGATTGCTTTCCAAGGAGCTCAGCAGGAAACCCTCTGCTATGGGTCAAAGTTGTCCCCCACAAGTTCTTGTACTGGAAACTTAATCCCCACTGTAACAGTGCTAAGAGGATGGGAAATTCTGTTATGATAATTGAAAGGTGGAGCCTTGAAGAGTGATTAGATTGCAAAGACTATGCCCTAGTGAATGGATTGCTCCTTTCATGAAGTACTGGGTGTGGTTCTGATGGTTTTAAAAGGAGAGCAGGTGAGGTGGT